CCCCCCCCCCCCCCCCCCCAAAAGAAAAAAAAAATTAAAAATTAATGGCTCATTTCTTTTGCTTTTTCTTCTTTTTCGATGACGATATTGATGATGATGACGATTTTGTAGGTTGCTGAATAACTACAGTGCCTTGCTTCACATCTTCTGGCTCATTCTTGAATTTTTCATTACTGTCCAAAAAAAACATTAAATCTTTGACTTGCTCATTTAACTCCCCTTTTTCCTTCTTCAATTTTTCAATAGTTCCTTTCAATTCCACATTTGTGTTGGTCAAATAGTCCACCTTTTTAGAAAGGGCATCATTCAAACTGTTGAGTGTAGCCAACTCCTTTCCAACCAGGCTCAATCTTTCTTCTTTAGTTTGAATCTTCTCCTTAAGCGATGGTATCACTTTGGTGGTGAGATCTGTTACCTTGGCTGACAAATCTTCGATTGTAATCTCTAAATCAGTTACTAGTTCCAGATTTACATTTGAGTTGCTCAAGACACCTTTTCTAGATTTGGTGTCCTGCATTTCTCGATGCTGCAACAAAAGCTCTTCGTAATACTCGCGTTGACTTGCTAGCTGGCTAATCAATAGCTGCGAGTACTCAAATCCCACAGCGTCAACTTTATCTATGTTGTTAGCAGCACGAACTTTGGTTTTTGCAGAATCTTCAACATCCTTTTCAGGTAATTCAACCAATTTCCCATCAGACTCATTGGTGACTAATCGATGAACATAATTGTCTCCTGCATAATCCCACACCCTACTAGTAGAAATTTCCATTGCAAAGCAATGTCCTGTAGTTATAAAATGCTTTAATGAATGTTGCTCTGGCGCATACCTGCTGCAACCAATATTGCCACAAACTAGACAGATCCATAGATTCAGAGTCTCCTTGCATTCCATGCAGCATTCTGGATCCTCGGTTAAAGTTGTATTCTGTAGCAAAGTTGAAGTAGTTTCGCTACTTCTACTAAGACGTCGAAATCGACCCGAGGCTTGTCTCAAATCATCAGCATTAGCTAAATTGTGCGAGTACCGGCAAACGGGACAGGAGTCGTCTCTCCATTTGGATAAGCATTGACAATGAAATGTGTGTTGACAGGGAATCGTAAACAAACCCGTTATCGTTGCATCCATTTTTTCTAGACAAACAGGACATGTAGGAAGCTCTAGCAATACGTTACTAGACACGTGACTCAACTGTGTGTCAATTGTCTCTTTGTTTTGCAGAGGTGGTTGCAGTGGTGGCGGCGGCGACGGTGGCGACGGTGATGTAAATGGATCCTGAAGCAAAAAAGGTATCAATGTACGCATTTCTTCGTTTTTGTGAGGGTAATACAACTGGACAGATTTGACATAAACAACATGGCACGTTTCTGGTTCCATGGAGTTGAAATTTTTACCATCAAAATGGTACTGGAACTCGGCTGCTTTAATTATGTCTCTAAACTTTATCAAAACCAAAAACCTATTTGGCTTTTCACTCTTGAGGATTCGGATGTGCGATATACCGTTCATATACGCCTCTCCTATGTAGCCTAGCAAATCGGTTGCCGTGAAATATGTAGGAATTGCCAATATAGCCACCATTGAATCATCACCTGGTCTAGTTACACCTGCGCCTCCTTCTCCATCAAGGTCAGTTTCATGCTCAAACTCACGATAAAGTCGTATCACGCCATTTCCTATCAGCTTTGCTCGTATAGGCTCAATTGTCTTAGCCATAGCCATATCTTGTTGTTTGTGGTTCCTTATATTCTTTACCTCTATTTCAACAACTTCAATATTGGAATATCTATAATCCAAACCGCGGCAATCTAATGTGGTGGTGCTGGGGGTGCTGCTGCTGCTTAAATCAATAACAATGTGATAGGAGTCATTACCTATCATCCCTTTGACCAATATACCCTTCAATTCATCAAACCTTGACAGCTTACAATGTAAAAAGAAGCTCCTCTAACAGTTTATTTTACAATCAATTTTCAATCAAACTTTTCTCTCTAAATTTTTATTTCCATTTTTTAAACGCCAATGAGCCAATGGTGCAAAAGACCAGGTGGTTATTGGATCTAAATAGCAGCGGAGGCTAGTATAATAGGGGTTAGAGGTTTAATGAGTCAATGGTGATGAGCCAATGGTGGAAAACCAGGTGGTTATTGGATTTAGGAAGCAGCGGAGAATAGTATAATACGACACTATCGAGCAGAGCGAGATAGTGGAGCAGTACTGACTAGCTTGTGACACCAGGTGGTTATTGGATCTAGAGAGTAGCGGAGCTACTATAATAGATGTTAGAGGTTTAATGAGCCGACGGTGGAAGACCAGGTGGTTATTGGATCTAGAGAGCAGTGGAGGCCACTATAATACGACACTATCGAGCAGAGCGAGATAGTGGAGCAGTACTGACTAGCTTGTGACACCAGGTGGTTATTGGATCTAGAGAGTAGCGGAGCTACTATAATAGATGTTAGAGGTTTAATGAGCCGACGGTGGAAGACCAGGTGGTTATTGGATCTAGAGAGCAGTGGAGGCCACTATAATACGACACTATCGAGCAGAGCGAGATAGTGGAGCAGTACTGACTAGCTTGTGACACCAGGTGGTTATTGGATCTAGAGAGTAGCGGAGCTACTATAATAGATGTTAGAGGTTTAATGAGCCGACGGTGGAAGACCAGGTGGTTATTGGATCTAGAGAGCAGTGGAGGCCACTATAATACGACACTATCGAGCAGAGCGAGATAGTGGAGCAGTACTGACTAGCTTGTTACACCAGATGGTTATTGGATCTAGAGAGTAGCGGAGCTACTATTATAGATGTTAGAGATTTAGAGAGCCAATGGTGCAAAAGATCAGGTGGTTATTGGATCTAGAGAGTAATGGCTACTTAATAGAGCTTTAGAGAGCTAATGGTGCAAAAGACCAGGTGATTTAGGGTCTAGAGAGTAGCGGAGGCTAGTATAATACGACACTATCTCGCTCTCGCTCTGCTCGATAGTGGAGCAGTACTGACTAGCTTGTGACACCAGGTGGCTATTGGATCTAAATAGCAGCGGAGGCTACTATAATAGGGGTTCAGAGGTTTACCAACGGTGCAAAACTTGTTAGAAAAAGTACCAAGTGTTGCTCCACTATCTCGCTTTGCTCGATAGTGTCAGTAGTGTTGCTCCACTATCTCGCTTCGCTCGATAGTGTCGATAGTGTCGATAGTGTCGATAGTGTCGATAGTGTCGACTTCTATAAGTAGTATTTGTCTCTATCAAAATGTTCTAAACTTTGTATAATTTCTCCATTTTCTCCAATAATCTCGTACTCTTCACCTGCAAGCACCGTCAAGGCGTTTGGATCTGGGATCCATATAACATGAGCGTGGGCAGCAATACCCGAAACTACTCCGGGAATTCCATCTTCAAATATGAGACATTGCTCAATCGTCAACTGCTCCTGGCCCTTCAATTTCCTCTCATTGTTTAAACTGTCTAAACATGCAAACCAGATATCCGGATGAGGTTTGCCCCTTCCCTCGGGAATCCTTTCATCGTCTCCAGTAACTATATGGCCTTGAAAATATTCAAATCCATGCTGAAGGTGTTTTGTTTTGCGCTCAAAATTAATAGTGTTGGAACTGGTCCCTAAAGCTATGGGCACACCATTTTCATATAGATACTGTAACAACTCTAATGCCCCGGGTAAAAATCTAGCCTTGTGCCATTTATCTGCTTGGATAGCCATTGCCTTATTGGCAAATTCTTGAGCAGTTAAGGGCAAATCGTATTCCTCAATCATTATCTTGGTCGCTTCTAACCCCGGTCTTCCTTGTAACTTGATCTTAACATCCCATGTCATAGGACCCTTACCATACTGTCTTAAAAGCTCCGAAGCAGCTTCTGTATAAATGTCCTCAGTATTGAGTATTGTACCATCCATATCTTTACCAATATATATATATATATATATATATATATATATGTATAATGTTAGCCAGCTAATTCATCAAAACTCATTCGAAAAGAAAGCACCAATCAACATACCAAAAAGACATGCCTTGATAACCGTGTGACTAGAATAGAAGGAAAGTCAGTATACTCTATCAGTTTACATCCTACAGCTTAGTTTCCACATACTGTTTATTCGAATTCATGGCCAATCTTCAAATTGCAAAAAAGAAAAATGGCAAGCGATGAGGTTCCAAAGCAATGAAAAAAAAAATATAATAGATTGGTATACAAAAGAAAGAAAAAGATACAAAGTATATCAATGGATTTAACGGGTTCTAGTTTTAGTGGATATTGATTTTGGTTTTTACTATAGAGGGGCATTTTTGAATAGATACGAGATACTTTCACCATTGTGCAATCTTCTGATAGCTTCCGCAATGACAGCAGATATATCGATGGTATCTAGTTTATTGCAAAGCTTCAATTTATCTTCGAAAGGAACTGTATTAGTGCAAACCACTTTCTTGAGCTTCGAGTTGTTGATATTCTGAATAGCGTTTCCTGATAATACGCCATGGGTAACAATTGCAATTACTTCCTTAGCGTTGTTGTCTAGTAATACCTCTGCCGCTTTGGCCAAAGTACCGCACGTGTCTGCCATATCATCAACAATAATGCAGACTTTGTCACTAACATCACCTACAAGGACCATTCTTGAAACTTCGTTAGCTTTTGCTCTCTCCTTGTGTATCAAGGCAAAGTTCAAATCCAATCTATCAGCCAACCCCGCTGCCCTCTTTGCCCCACCGGCATCTGGGGAGATTATTATAGCATTTCTATAGCTGATTTTCTCCTTAATGTATCTAACAACGCTAGGTTCGGCATACAAGTTATCTACAGGAACGTCAAAAAAGCCCTGAATTTGAGATGCATGCAAGTCCATGGTAATAACGTGGTCGCAGCCTGCTGAAGTCAACATATCGGCCATCAACTTGGCAGTAATGGGCGCACGCGACTTGTCCTTTCTATCCTGTCTTGCATAGGGGAAATTTGGTAGTACCACGGTAATTCTCCTAGCACTTGCCGTTTTACAAGCATTGATCATAATCATCAATTCAATAACTCTATCGTTAACTGCTCCGGAGCCAATTTGACAGATAATAAATATATCTTCATCTCGAACAGATTCTCCAATAGAAAATTGTACTTCCCCCGTTGATTCTCTGTTTAGTTCACATGGTGTTATCTTTAAGCCCAATCTTCTAGCAACTAATTCCGCAAGTCCTCGATGCACATCACTAGCTAGCAACTTAATAGAGTTTGACGACATTTTTTTTAAAACTCAATTCAAATTTAGAAACTATTAACCTCTTTATAGACAAAGAGATGCCGCTTATTCCTACTGTTCTACTGTCACCTAGATGGCAATGGTATAAAACCACCCCACATTATATGAAAATTCTCTTATTGCGATGAGCTCATTTGAAAAAAAAACTCACTAAGTGAGTCGCTACCAAATGATTTCCATAGATATACAAAAGTTGGCGGGAAGGCGGAGGAAGCAAGCTTGCTCAAACTCTTAAAAGAGATCATCTACATCGGAGTTTTCTTCATCGTCTCCTTCTCCTTCTCCTTCTGCATCTCCTTCTGCATCTCCTTCTGCATCTCCTTCTCCTTCTCCTTCTCCTTCTTTGACATTTACTTCATCGTTTCCATTGTCCTTTTCGCCATCTCTTTCAATACCTGAATTTTTCAGGTGACCATCACACTCCTCTAATGCCTTTGATAAGTCTCTCTTCTTTTGATCCAAAGATGCCTTTAAGGAGGAAAAAGTATTTTGGTATTTCATCTTCATCATTTTGTTTGTAGCTGAGAAGAGGTTTTTTCTATGGTTCTCAACGGCCTTTTCAAGTTCAGCTATTTCTTCTTCCAACAATTTGACATGCAGTAGGGCTCTTCCGCCTTCGCCATCTCCACCATTTCCATCACCTCCTTCCTCATCATCCTCTTCCTCGTCATCATCATCATCCTCTTCTTCTTCTTCTTCTTCTTCTTCCTCCTCCTCCTCTTGCTCATCATCATCGTCATCATCATCCATAACACCAAACAACTCCTCATCTCCCACTTCACCTTCCTCTTCCTCATCTCCCACTTCACCTTCCTCTTCCTCATCTCCCACCTCACCTTCCTCTTCCTCATCTCCCACTTCACCCTCTTCTTGAAGCTTATTAGCCGCCAGTGCAGGAGTCTCAATCATCTGCTCTGTTGATTTTTCTTCTCCTTCGTCATCCAACGCTTTAATTAATTCTTCCTCAAAATTAAGCTCAAAGTCTTCTCCTTTATCGTCAGCAACAACAACACTACTCTCTTCATGCATTCTATCCAGCTCTTGTTTCCTTGGGCGAGGAGTTGGCGCCGGAGTAGTTGCAGCAGATGAAGTACCACTATTCTGGCCGAATCTCAATTGACAAGACTCGTTCAAAAGCTCAAAATGGCTCTCCTCAGCCTCATTGTCCAATTTGATCAACTGATCTACTCGAGTCTCAATGTCTTGAATCACACGATGATCGGCTAAAGTAGGTCTGAACCGCCTATAGACATCCTTCAAGGGATTGAGTAGTCCATCCCTATGAACAAGTCGCCTCTTTTTTATCTCGTTATTCTTAATGTACTTGTAGAATGGATGATTAAAAAGCAATTCCTCGGGAACTTCAAAATCCTTCTCCGAGTTCAATTGTGCCGGATTTATTTTATGCAAAACAAGTAGGATCTGACAAACGTCAAAGTTTTTGAATATATTCTTCTTATCTATAGTCTTGTATATTTCAGTCACCGTGGGTAGATCAATTAGCCGCGCCGAGTACAAAGTACCATTAACATTAACCACAGCTTTTTCCTTTGTTATCCATTTCACATTAAGCCCTGTTAAATCACCCGAGTCTATTGCATTATGTACAAAGTCGAGATTCGAATCGTCAAGGAATCGAATGATTATACCTTGCTCCACAAGAGGATCGTCTTCCACATCCGGTGCTTCTGAATCGTACCCTTCTCCAGGAACCCTCGTTGGCTTTATCCGAACCCGCGGAACAAATTTCGGTCTAGACGACTCTTTTGAAACTTGTTTCTTCTTTGATAAACTCAATTTCAACTTTTTGGGTTTCTTTTCAACCGTGTGAAGTTGACTCTCCCCCTCTCGCTTTAAGGGTACCACAGAGGGTACCACAGAGGGTACCACAGAGGGTACCACAGAGGGCGCTTTAATCTTTAATTTCGGAATCCGGGGTGGTGGTGGTGCATCCTGTTCAGCAGCTGCTGGGACCTTCAACTTGAGCTTAAGTGCCATTTCAATTTTTCCTCAATACGCTTATACTCTTACAATCTTCCTCTTACTCCTTCAATACGCTTACACACACCTAGAACTTCCTCTTCTTCCTCTTCTTCTCCTCTTCTTCTCCTCTTCTCCTTCTTCTTCTTCTTCTTCTTTTGATGATATATCGATTGGTAGCTCCACTGAAAAATTTCCAAAGGGAAAGCTATTGCTATTGCTATTGAAAGAAAGGGGACTATTGATTAGCAAGGTTCTGTAGTTATTTGGTTTGCTGCTAGTTGGAGTTGTTACTGAAGTTGATAACAGGGCATTTCAACCTGTTTGCTGCTGTGTTTTTTGTTTGTGGTGCCGAACTGTTTCCATTGTTAAACGGGAGTAGTTTTTTTGAAAGATTCAAATTGCTCATCTTGAATTAGTATCAAGTAGATAAGTTGCTTCTTAGAGTATTGGTATTGCCGGAGTGGGTGTTGTTGTTTTTAAGTTGCTTCTTAGAGTATTGGTATTGCTGGAGAGGGTGTTGTTGTTTTTCTTGTTTCAATGAGTAGCAAAGGTCAAAGACCCTCGGCGAGGAGTAGAAGATCCTCATCTTATGACAGGAAATTGAGCAGGTCGCGACAGAATTCTGTCACGTCAATGGACTCCTCAGTGAGTCATTTGCTTGATGATAACAATCAAGAAATGTGGTCGGGTGCTGCGTCGGAGGTTATCCCTTCTTCTATCACTTCATTGCATTATCCTCATAGCTTTGTGAACCGAAGGGGTTCGCGAGTGATTCGTGAAACTTCACCATTATTGAATGCAGATGAGAATGATTTTGACTTGAGATCAATGGCATCTCAAGCATCAAAGAGCTCAACTGATACAATGGCCAATTTCCGGTTCTTTTCTCCCGATGAAATTGAGATGGCTCAAGGCGGCTCTACTTTGGAAAACCCCGAAGATCCCGTGGACTATAATACGAACTGGGATTACTCAATTGACAAGTATATAAGTGGTGGTGGTGAAGAAGACGCGGTGCAGGATGATTTGGAAGCAGAAGGAGAAGGAGAAGCAGAAGGAGCAGAAGGAGAAGGAGAAGAAGGAGAAGAAGGAGAAGAAGGAGAAGAAGCAACAAGTAGTAGTAGATACCAATCACCTGAAGCTCCCGATTACGGATCTATGAATTTCGAACGACGTAATCGTCGAAGTTCAGATGCCAGCAGTGGAAAATCTCATATACTAGACGAGGATACAGAAGAAGTGAATAATAAGAATGAGGATTTTTATAGGTCGTTTCCAGCTAACCTCGAATCTCAAAGATATTACTTGGCAGAAGAAGATTTGGTTATTGGTATTGCTGGGTATCGGAACTCGCTTTGGAAAAAGGCCCTCTATTATTTAATCTGCATCGGTAGTTTGGGCCTTGGATATTTGATTCTTAGGTGGTTTCCTAAATATCGTGTTAATTTGATGGGTACAAGGTGTCCACTTGGCTTGTCTGACTGGTGCGTTATTGAAAATGAATTTGGTGAGTTGCTGATTATCGATGTGAAAAAGCAAAGATTTGATGAAAGGCTTTCAAGCTTTTTGGTCCTACAAGAGAGTAGCGATTTGGAAAAAGATCCTGTAATACCCACTATGCATTCATTTGTTTACCGATACATCAAGTTTTTTTATAATCCAGCGGAGGACATGTTTAAAACAAATTCGAATTGGTACGATACAAGATGGTTGAATGTCAAGAATATCAAAGATGGAATTTCCCAATCTCTTCAAGAACAAAGATTAGAGGTGTTTGGTGAGAATAGAATTGAAGTGGAGGAGAAATCGGTGGTTCAACTTTTGGCAGATGAAGTTTTGCATCCATTCTACATTTTTCAAATATTCTCCATCTTTTTATGGCTTGCTGATGACTATTATTACTATGCTTCTTGTATTTTTATTATTTCTATGATTTCAATAATCAATTCCTTGGTGGAAACCAAATCAACCATCAAGAGATTGCAGCGGGTTTCTAGATTTGTGTGCGAAGTTAGAGTATGGAGAAATGGATTTTGGAAGCAAATTGACTCGGTGGACTTGGTACCAGGTGATATATTTGAAATAGACCCTTCTCTAGGTGTGCTTCCATGCGACGCATTGCTTGTTAACGGAGAATGTGTGATTAATGAGTCTATGCTAACAGGAGAGAGTGTTCCTGTTTCTAAAATGAGTGCTACAAGAGAAATTGTTAAACTTTTGCCCGAGAATTTTATTGATCCCGTATTGGCACGGTCTTATCTATTCAGTGGTACAAAATTGTTGAAAATGAGATCCGTTAATGATGAACCAGTTCAAGCAATGGTTGTAAAGACAGGGTTCAACACTACCAAGGGTTCCTTAGTACGCTCTATGTTGTTCCCCAAACCAACGGGATTCAAATTTTATGAAGATTCCTTCAAGTATATTGGATTCATGACCATTATGGCTGCATTGGGATTTGCGTACTCTACTTACAATTTTATCAAGTTAGGGTTGAGTACAAAGGTGATGATTTTGAGGGCATTGGATATTATAACTATTGTTGTTCCGCCAGCTTTGCCGGCAACGTTGACTATTGGAACAGCATTTGCAATTTCGAGACTAAAAAAGTCACAGATTTATTGTACGGCACCAAGCAGAGTTAATATTGGAGGCAAAATAGACGTAATGTGTTTTGATAAAACGGGAACCTTGACCGAGGACGGTTTGGATGTTTTGGGGGTACATTTGGCAAACAATGCTCAGGGGAGAAAAGAGATTGTGTTTGAAGACTTGGTTTGTAATATTTCAAATTTGAAAATAGTGAAAAACGATCCTTATGAAACGAATAATGGGAAGTTTCTTTTAGGATGTATGGCTGCTTGTCATTCTTTGAGATTGATCGAAAATGAAGTATTAGGTGATCCTCTTGATTCGAAAATGTTCGAGTTTACCAAATGGGACTATAGTGAGGACTCTGAATCTGGACAACCAACGGTTTCAAGTAATAATGGGACAGTTTACAAAGTTTTAAAAGAGTACGAATTTTTGGCATCACTAAGGAGAATGTCAGTTCTTGTAAAGGCGGAGAATAATAATAATAACAGCAACAACAACAGCAGCGGCAGCAGCAGCTATAATAATGATGATGATAATGATAATAATAAAAAATACGTTTTTACAAAAGGTGCCCCTGAAATTATGCTAGATATTTGTCATGAGGCTTCACTTCCATTGAATTATGAGGAGTTTTTGCATCACTATACGCATTTGGGTTTTAGAGTGATTGCTTGTGCTTACAAGATAGTTGAAGACTCACAGCAGCAGTACATGGAAAGAGAGGATGCAGAATCTGAGCTAACATTCACCGGATTTATTATTTTTGAAAACAAGTTGAAAAAATCCACTGCCTCTACTTTAGAGGCTTTGAATAAGGCTAAGATCCGTAATATAATGTGTACCGGTGACAACATTTTAACTGCAATTAGTGTTGCAAGAGAGTCCAAATTGCTCCCTAGTAGTGTTCATGACATTTACATTCCCGTTTTAGACATGAAAGATGATATAGGATATTTATCCTGGCAAGAAGTGAACAATCCAAACAAGAAATTAGATTCAGAGACTATCAAGCCGATGGATATTAGACATGATCTTAATTACAAATTAGCGATATCGGGAGATATTTTTAGATTCCTCCTTACCGAAATCAAAGATGTCAATACAATTCAAAATGTATTGATGAACTGTGATATATTTGCGAGAATGTCACCTGACGAAAAGCATGAGCTAGTTGAGCAACTTCAAAAAATTGACTACACTGTTGGGTTCTGTGGTGATGGTGCCAACGACTGTGGTGCATTAAAGGCGGCGGATGTTGGGATATCACTTTCGGAAGCAGAAGCATCTGTGGCTGCGCCGTTTACTTCTCGAGTTTTTGAGATTTCCTGTGTTTTAGACGTGATCAAAGAGGGAAGGTCGAGCTTGGCTACAAGTTTCTCCTGCTTCAAGTATATGTCATTATACTCGGCCATTCAGTTTGTGACAGTGACAATTCTTTACAAATCAGGTACCAATCTTGGTGATTTCCAATTTTTATACATTGATTTGTTTTTGATTTTGCCCTTGGCTATATTCATGTCATGGTCTAAACCTTATCATGAACTATGTATCAAAAGACCCACAGCAAATTTAGTTTCACCTAAAGTGTTGATATCGATGGTTTGCAACATTTTAGTACTATTACTATTTCAAGTACTCATATGGCTTTGGGTTAAAAGAGAGCCATGGTATATAACACCTGTACCTGGTACAGATGATGAAGTTCAATCTTCGGACAATACGGTATTATTTTTATTTTCCAACTTTCAGTATATTTTAATTGCGGTAGTACTAAATCCAGGACCTCCCTATCGTGAGCCAATTTTGAGAAACAGGTTGTTTTTGATAAACTTGGTAGTTGCAACTTTGCTATCCGTATCATTGTTTGCGATTGATGAAGATTCGAAATTGGGACACTTTATGCAATTGACCAATTTACATGGATCTTTTTACTGGTATATTGTTATTCTCGCAATAGTGAATCTTTTAATAATGTTGGTAGGTGATAAGACGTGGTTCCCCAAATTAGCCAAAGTGTACAAGAGAATCGTACATAGAAGTTCAATGGGGAACAGTAAAAAGACGTTTAAGAATTTAAAAAGGGAATTTGAACAAATTCAAAATGTATAGATTTTATAGAAAAGAGAAATGTATTTAGAATAAAGCAAAGGTAAAGTAAAAGAGGGACACTATTGAGAAGAGGGACACTGTTGAGAAGAGGGACACTGTTGAGAAGAGGGACACTGTTGAGAAGAGGGACACTATCGAGCAGAGCGAGATAGTGGAGCACACTGACTACTCTAAAGAAGGAGAAGAAGAAGGCAAACAATGATGATAATGATAATAATGATGATGAATGGTGATGATGATTTAAAAAAATAATAAAGTTTTGCAAAAAAAATGATTCCGCCCAGGATCGAACTGGGGACGTTATGCGTGTTAAGCATATGCCATAACCAACTAGACCACGCAACCATTTTCTTGAAAGAAAAACTCGGATACTCAAACTGATCTTGATAACTCAGAATGGAAAAAAGAAAAGAAAAAGAAAAACGTTATCAATGTGGACTACGAGTACCATGGTGAACAACTTACCTTGAAGTGCACCATTTTGAAGATCTGTGTCCCTTATTTCCCAATGAGATATGTTACTCACACAGATGTTTGAAATTCGTTAATATATATATATATATATATAAAAAAGAGAAAAAAGTATACGAGAGTATCAAATCTACAAACAATTATTCTTTACCAATTCTCTTTCATTTTCTTTCTTTTAATTTCCTTTATATATATATCACTAAGTCAAACTAAATAAATAACAAAAAAAGAAAAATAAAAATAAAGTAAAAAGAAATCAAGCTAATATACTTCCATCAAAAAAAACCAAGTTCCAAAAGTTGAGATTAAAAGACTTAGTTTACTTTTTAGCAGCTTTTTGTGCAGCTTTGGTGACTTTACCAGCCTTGTCGGACTTTTCAA